CTTTACTTTTACTCTTGGGAACTTGGGTTGATGTTTCTCTGGTGGTACTTTGTTTCTTCTTGGCATGAGGGACAGTGTAACTAACTACCTTTTGTGAGTCCTGTTTCCTTTTTACAGTGCTATAATTTTTTTTACACTACCTTTTTGGTATAGCTGTTATTAAACTGTATAAACTTGGAAGGCAATCCGCTGTCTTCAACCTTTTATTGAAAAAGAGTTTTTGGCTTGCTGTGTAGTTGTGCAGCTACACGCATAGTGAGGGAAACGTGTTTAGTTTTACAAAGTTGAATCCTCTTTCCTGAAGATTGCTTTTCAGCATGGCACGAATACAGTCATCCCTTGTGTTTCAAGACATACAAACAAAACATTATTATGGAAGTATTAGATGTTAAGATATGTCAATATGTAGAACTATTGGCTAAGAAATGGTTTTGTTTATGATTAACAGTTCCTTTACTCTGGATAATGTGTTGTGTGTTTAAAGGAGAAAAAAACAACAACCTACACCTGCATTGTAGTGGCAGCATGATGACTTTTCGGCTTCACAGGCATCTTGTGTGAATACTACCGCCCCCCCCCCCCCCCCCTTCTTAATCATTAATTTATCCAGGCATTCCTCACAACAGACTATTTATAGAAGCCTTCACCAAACATCTCTGCACTCTGTACTAATTTCTAAACTGCTGAAGAACAAGGCTGAGACATCTGCTCTCTCCCTCTCTCCACTGGTCTGTCAGAGGGGTGAACAGAATAGCCCTGTTGCATTGTTTGGCTTTCAAAGACAGGGGGGTTGGTGGTGGTGGTGTGTTCAGTCAGTCTCTTCTCTCACTATGCTCTTATCCCTGTTTCTTATTCTTTGCTTCATCTCCTTCCTCAAACCACTGTCTGTTCTAGTACGCTACACTACCCGCACTGTGATGAGCTAATTGCTGTCAGTAGTTCAAAGTATGATGGGTCCCCAGTTCTGTGATCCATAAATAGACTATTCAAAATCTTAGAGACACAAGAGTGCCATAGAGATTTGCATTCATTAGCAAACTGCTAACTGTTCTTATTTCAGGGGAGCATATTAAGGGATATATGACAGCAGAGTGAAGCTGGTTCATTTTGTTCATGCTTATGAACGCACTCAAAACCATTTTAACAAACACACATATATATAATAAGAATAATAGGAGATAATCAGCAGCGTACAGTGGTGCGTGTGCAGCGTGATGCCCTGCAGCTCCCAGTTAGACTGTCTCTTAACAAACTTGCCTAAATATGTTAAATACCACAGGTTTTAATGATCAGATCCCTCTTAACAGGCATTGTAGGCTCTGTAGGCTTCACCACACTGAAACTTGCACATACTTGTTTAGCCAATCAGAATGAGCCCACCGGAGCCCTTATGGAACTGGTTGAATATGTGACTGTTATGCAGTACTTGCAAACTACAGTGCTCAGTATTAGAGCACATTAGAAGACGTAACGTTTGCGTACTTTCCCTCTACTCATAACTTTACAATTTATATATTTGTTGTGCTTATACTAAACCTGGAGTGTTAAGTCTTGCTTTACCTGGTATGTGCTTGTAAAATATTCACTGTGTCCCCTTACTGGATTTATACTTTTCTCACCTTTAGTTTAAGTAACTGCATCTCCTGATGGAACAGCACAGTTGAATTTCAGCATTATGCAACGTAACGAGTTGTTGTCAACTCAAGTAGTTCACCTGTCTCCTGCTCTGCGCGCACGCTGTCATCCTCTCTAAGATGCAGTTTAAAGTGAATAAAATTCAATTACTATTTCTTATTTCATGGGGCTAATTCATAGTTTTTGTGATATGCGCGGTGACCGGGAGGGCAGAACAACAGACCAGGACCGTGGCTCACACCAGACTTCCTGTAGAGACGTAGCAAAAGCAGTTTCCCTTCCCACAATTATTTAGATCACCTCTCAACTCAAGAAAAAGACATGGTGAGATATGGATATCAAGAGATGGACACAAACTGCAAGCAATCTGGCGTATTTCTGCCATTAAAAATCACCAGGTACCTGCCAGAGCTTGACTGCGGTCATGTATAGGTTTACCTTGAGAATCCCTCACCTTACACTGCTGCCAAGGTTTTCTTAATCGGACAGAATTCTGTAGAAACATAGCTCAGGCTTGTCTCCATGTCGATTAGTGCATCTGAGAGCACAACAGCTAGCGGCATTTTGGAAACACAAAAGTAACAAACAGTGTGTTACTTGCTCCCTAGTTGGCGAGCAGTGGAAAATGTCTTTTTTGCCCTTGTAACCTGACGTCACATGAAAAAAATGAATTGAGATAACGCATAATCAAAATAACTGAAACATTTTTAAAGGTTCAATAAATGCTTGATGTTTACTAAGTCAATCAGTAATCAAGTTAATAATTGTGATTTCAATTATGACCAAAATAATTGAGGAAAAATTAAGCAGCCCTAGCGTGAATATTTTCCTTAATTGGAAGTAACAGGGATAACCAAAACCTTAAAAACGGCCCCTGACAAAACTTACACAAATGGACAGGGTTGTCTGCATACTTCCGGCCAGTGTACTTCAGTGTGACCTAATGCTGAACTGTGAAAGTGCCCAGAGCAGTTGCCAAGCTGCAGAAACTACATTGAATTTTGAGAAAACAGATTCTGTGAGCCATTTATTTGACAGTGCTTAAGCTTAAAGGGGATCTGCGCTGCAAGTTTCTTTGTGGGCATGGCCAGCATTCTGTGACTGGAGCAAATGGCCATAAATGGTTTTTCATATATGGTTAGTAGAAAAAAGCATTTAGAACAGGAGGAAATCTAAGGGAATTCTATTAAATGCTTTTACCTCATTATTTGAAGCCTTGGCCACATTTAATATGAACATCTGACATTGTAACATTATAGATATGCCAGATAATACGGAAATGCATAATGGGTCCCCTTTAAACTTTGTAGGATAGGATAAATGGGATAGTTTAGATACAGAAACTGCTGAATAAAAGATCCGCTGATGAACTGTATATCATAAAACCACCCACTCACATTTTATTCGTTCAAAAATTATTTATTGCTTTCATCAATGCATGTCTGTTGGCGATATAGATTCCAGAGTAAATATTGAAGCAGTGGTTCATGACAAAATGAAAGGATAATCTTCATGATTATTTAACCCTGTAAAACAACTTTTGGCATTAAAATAGTTTTTATTCTTATCTTTAGGCGAGTCCTGTTTGTTTCTTTGTCTCTTTAATCTTTGTAAAAGCTCAGGAAGATATATTAAGCTATTGATTATCAGTCACGTGTTGCCTAGTTTGTGTCTAAAAGAAATTGTTCCTTTCCACCTGGAACTGGAGCAAAGACCGGGCCTTACCACACCAAAGATTAACAAAGTCAGACAAGTTAAAAATCCAATTGAGGGGAACATCCATTACTGAATGGGCCACCGGTCGAGCCAAGAAAAGGCCATTAAGGAAAGCATGGTCTCAGCTCCCTGTAGAAAACATTTATGAGAGGCACTCTCTAATGAGTCAACAGAGAGGACTCTTTTCATCACTCAAACTAATTGGCATCTGTGAATCTGTAGCTTAAAGAAGAAAAAGAGGAGCCTGCTCGATGCTATTGATCGAAATTTTCTGCGAAGGAGTGAGATGGGCGATGTGGTGGCTTTTAAAGCAGCACCCTGCTTAAAGGTGCAGTAGACGTGACGAGGATGCTACCATCTCACACATAAAAGTGCATAAGAATAGCTTCTGGGTCTTTGTAGAAAAGGTAAAATGTCTTACCTTTGCTACACCACTACAAGCAGAAACATTTTAATAAAACAAAATGCAGAATAAAAAAAAAGTCTATACAACTGAAGAAGAACTCTGGTTATCAAAACAATGTCCTTGTTGCGAACATAGACAGCTAATGAGCTCTGTGTAAAGTGAGGTACTCTTCAGTCTCAGGGACCTATTACATTCTTGCCCTTATTCTCCTGGCCATTCTCTTGATGTAAGAGTGCACAGCAGTTATTATTTCCATATATTGGATCCCATCATCCCAGTAATTGTTTGTCATTATCAATTCCCCTTTATCGTGGCCAAAAGCACTGGATGGCAAAGCATGTGGGAAATGGAGGCAGGCAGAGTCAAAGATAAACACAGTGTTTGCTGTGCATCACTGACTGCATAAAATGCAAAGGTGCAGGCCGCTCAATAAAACTAATCAAATGTGAATTTTAAGTGGTATTGACTTGCATGGATTCACAAGGGATGGCAAATTTGAAAAAAGCAGGGCAAAAGCTGAAGATGGAGAATCAGAAGTCAGCCTGGCAGGGCAAGGACAGTCAGAGGGCAGAGCTAACAGACTGCTGCTTAACAGACAAACTCTTTACTGCATACCCCCTCGAGCTGGGCCCTAATTTTTTTGTCATTTCAATAGCCATTTGTATTGTTCCTGCTTTCAAATTTCATCCATTGCTGCATATAATATCACAATCAAAGTAAAGCGTGGGTCCTTTAGGTTCTCAAGTTGTAATCAGTCAACACTTGAAGACTTAAAAACCCCTGACAATTTCAAATCAGGATCTATCTTAGTATATCTATCGACAAAACAACATATTTATTTATTGATTATTAAGTATAACACAAAGACCTTGCTAATCTGCCCCATGAGCCCTGTGTGGGTGTGGTTTAATCAAAATGTAGCGATTGGTGTATCAAAAGCATCCGTTTTCTCTGCCTGAGCCTAGCCCACAAACCAGTGAGAGCAAAAACACATAGAAGTCTTGCAAGTAAAATAACAAAAACTGATGAAGCTTTTGTATAAAATGTTGTTTATATTGAAAACCAGTTTTCAGTGAGTAGCTGATAGAACAGGTTTTTGGGGTCCCAAAGACTTCTTTCATGCCTAATGCGTTTTGCTGTTTTTAGTTAAGTTAGTTTAGTTAAATAAATACACAGTTCTCTTGGAACGGGTTGTAATTTGACGCCTACACATCCTCTTTTTGTCTGTTTTTCTTTCTTTCAGTTGCAGCGGTTGAAACGCTCCCTGTCCTTCAAATCTGTCATGCGCAGCAAGAGTGTAGACAACTTTTTCCAGCGTAGTAATGGCGAATCTCGCCCTACATCCGCCCTCATCACCACACCTCCACCCCTGCAATCTCCTCCCCCTTTCTCTGAGTCCTCCCTGGTCTATGAGCGCTCTCCCTCCCATTCTCCGTCTATCAGTCCCAACCCCTCACTGTCATCACGCTCACCTTCGGTCAGTCCTTCGCTCTCCGTGGCCTCCAAAAACCAGCTAAAGTCTCAGGCCCAGCCGGTCAAGACTCACTGTTTCCAGGAGCACGTCTTCCGTAGGCCTACCAGCTGCCAGCGATGCAAACACATGATCCAAGGTAAGTCAGTTGTGTCAGTTACTTTAACTTGCTTTAAACATTGCATTCATGGGGAATATGCAGCCATATTGGACAGATCTCTCTGAAGTTTAACCAGGATCAGTGAAGTTCACTATGCGTTCCAAGAGGTGAAAATCCCCCACAATGCAAAAATTAACTGGCCAGTATGCTTAATGCTAGGTTTCTTAATCAGAGTATGGTCAATCTACTGTACCTGGCTGAATCAAGGTGCTTAAAAGGGTCACTTCACCCAAATCACAAAAAACACACATTTTCTCACTTACCACTTGTGGTATATTTAGCCATACATGTATTTTTTTTTAGTTGCTGAAGTTTTTCCACTTGGAATTCTGCACTTCACTTTACCCAAAATAATGAAATAACTTCTATTTGTGGTTTTCAGGGGATTAAGAGTTATAACTCAGTCCACAAATCCACAAATGTCACTGTGAGCCTTCTGCAGTGGGTTTATTTCTTGAGCAGAAAATTGTCCCAATGAAAATTGACAACAACCTCTGGGGTCCAATCTTGTTTACTCTTCTGGGAGTTTTACAGTTTATTTCATCTCTAGTCCAGGTTGTTATTCTGTAACAGTTTTACATGCTTTAGCAAACAGACACCAGGGAAACTGCACCCGATTCAGAATCTGTTGTAGGACCTGATATATGAAGTGTAGGACATTGTATAGGAAATGTAGGACCTGATATGAGCATATCCATTTAGACGGTGACATGGAAGTGGATTTTCACTCCTGTCCCCTCCCACTCCTACAAAAATACTTCTGTCCTGGCCCAATCCCATGAGAGAATTAAATAAATAAATCCAACCTCCCCAACCCTACACAGGATAAACGTGTGACGATGAGTGAGTGAGTGTACTGCACCTTGTGACATGCAGGCCAGTCCATTGAGTATTTCCGGTGTGGGTTCCACATGTCTACACATAATTTGCTCAGAGCAATAAAAATTCAAAATGCAGTTGTAAAGGTTTTCTGGGGATTTAAACAAGTCTTTTAAATGTTGAAATGAAAATTGACCCAAAGCTAGAGAATGTGGCTTGTGATTACTGTTAATAAAAAACTGGCAGAAATGTAGCATTTGTAATAATCAGATCATATTATACAATAGATACACTCACTTGGGACAGATAACGCAGTGTGGCAACAAGCCATTTTGGCCTTAACCTGTTGCTGATAACAGAAATATTGACAGCAGCCTTCAGTCTAAAGTGAATTGTTTGCTGTCCAGGGAACTCCAAGCAGGGGCTGCGTTGTAAAGCCTGTAAGCTGGCAGCCCACCTCTGGTGCTCATCGGAGCTCTCCCAGCAGCCCTGCAATGGCAAGGTAAGAACACTTCAGAACAACGATCATTAAGTCTCACTACCACACACTATGCACCTTTTTATGAAGCGAACAGTAACACCTTGCTGCCCAAATAAAATATAAAGTAACACAAAGTTTCTCTAAGTGTCTGGCAGAGAGATGACACCCAGGGATATGTGGTCATCTGGTATTAACAGGGGTGTGAAACTCTGAGATGCTCTTCCAAAATCTCATTTAAAGTAGCTGGATTTCCCACCTGGCCAGTGGGTCACAGGGAAATATGTGTAACAAACAACATTATTATATTGTTATCAGTCTTAATATTTTAATCAAATGCATCTTGACTGAGCTTTTTATTTTTTCTCAGCTACCTTATTTAAAAAGTGACATTTTTACTATTCCCTAAAGCTTTATTATTGTAGTTTCATTAGTTACATACATTAGTATTTTCTCATGTCACTTGTCCCTGAAAGTAAACATTGCTACCCATGAAAGGACAAAACTCATTAGCATAAAATGCTTAATCACTGTTGAGGGTGGCTTTGAATTAATTAATAATATTCCTGTATTGCTTTGTTCCATTGCTGCAGTTATCTCCCAGTAGCCCAGCTTACCATGGGAAAAATGTTTCTTGCATAGTTAATTCCATTTTTATGTTCTGAGTATTTGTAAAATTGACTGGAAAAGCACGAGTACTCTGTAGGCCAGAGACTAACCCAGAATGCATTGTGTCAGCAGAATTCAACAGCATCTGGATGCAGTAATTGTCTCTCTAAGTCAGCTGGCGTAGCCTTTAGTCCTGCTAATATGCTTAGCCTCAAAGCCCCCGTCTTGTTAAAAGAGGATAAAGCCCTTTTCAAACCAGCAGAGACAAAAAAGGTAGAGGTTATAAATAGAATGTGGATTGACCAGGGCTTTGCAAAGCAGACTAACACAATAGGAAACATGTGAAAGGGTAGCAGCGGGATAAAATTGCCATAAGATGAACAAAAACTGAAGAGGATGATACTGATGAAGTTCAGTGGCCGGGTCCCAACATTTTTTCACTCAGCCTTTTTGTCCTTCCTCCCTGCATGTGCTGCTCTTCTCACATAACACCATCCTGTTTTCCTCTCTTGTCTAGATGCTACATTTATTTCCTCCCCTCTCAACTATGTTGGAAAATCAATATCTCCCTATACCAGCTGGTCTGGCTAATTCAGTGTGAAATTCAGTGTTTTTGAGGCGCACACAATCCCTCGAGGATATGACACGTCAGGCTCTCGCCAAGCCTTCGGCAGTGTCCTTTTTGATCACTGCGCACTCATCAAAGCAAGGATTAGGCATTTTACTGAAACTGGATGGAGTTGGAGGTTATTTCATATATAACCTAAGTTAAGGTCCAGGGTTCACTGACAACCAAAGTGCGTCATCCAAACCTAGTCTGTGTGATAGCTTGTGAAAATGTATTTTATATTGCATTTGTTGCTTGGGTGATTTTTAACCATTGGCTGGTCTTCATGAATGTAGTAAAAAACAGAGCAGAGCAGATTTTGGGCAGCAATGTCTTGTTGTTGATAAAGAAGTGTTCAAATTAGTTTATTAGTATTATTATTAATGTAAGGAATGGGATTGGTGGGGAGAACTTGATTTTCTGAGTAGGGAAGCCAGTCAGACTCTTGGGATGACTTGAGGCCAGACAGAGCAGGAGGAGCCGGCCATCTTAGTGTGAATATCTATATCTGTGAAAGTACTGAATTGAGCTTACACCTTCATAGTGGTGGAAGGTACTGAGGACAGTACTGTTCTCAAATACCCTTTTCAGGTATTTTTTATTTTGTGTCTTTTACTCCTCTACATTTCAGAGAGAAATATTGCACTTTGTACTCTACTACATTTATGTGTGAGGCTGAGCTACAGTTACTCCACACACACACTTCAAAACTAACTTTTTAGTCTATCAGACAAAGTTTTGTTTTCTTAAAACAACACTTCCTTTGTGGCAAAAACTTCAGAGAAAGCTTCATCTGAGGATTCTCACTTATCTTTAGATAATTCTTGATACAAGTTGATTTCTACAGGTTGAAATAATAGACAGAAGTCAGTATTTGTTAGAAAAAGACTCTTACAACTCCGTAACTAATTCATAAGTAAGATGGAGATTTTGTTGGAGAAAGTCAATCATCATAAAATGGTTAAAATGAGCTACATCTACATCATTTAAATGCTGCTTACAGTACGTAATAAGCCTATAATATACCACGTAATATTGAAACACTAGTAATTGTAATTCTGCAAACCAAGTACCTAACTTTTATTTAATTTTGACTGTGTATACACACACACACACACACACACACACACACACACACACACACACACACTTTCACTTGATTAAAAGATCCGAATACCACCACTGGTCACTGCAGTAAAAACAAAGTAGTAAGTAGTGTAATTAACAAAAAAAAAAAAGAATATCGATGACTGCGGTTCCTCTGGCTCGCTCTCAGCCCATTTGCTGAGTGCACCCATATGACAAATTGCTTTAAAATACCTCCAGTACTTTGGATTCATGACAACATTTAGCTAATCGATGTTAATAAAACTTAAAGATGTATTACAGTTTGATTAAAGAAATATGCCTGCTGAGCACTGCACAAAAGAATTGCTTCTGCAGGACAGCTTTACTTACACACACACGCAAATTTGTGTTAGTGTCGTCAGTCCAGTTTTGCCTTCTGTGGATCTCAGCTGAACAGTGTGAAATTTCAGCTTGTCTCCCAAGACTGTCCGGTCATGCTCCAGTGAACAATCACCATTGCTGATATGTTGGTATGTGATTGTAGGGGTAGAATTTGGCTACTAGATGTGAAAGGGTGTCAGAAAGGCTGAGTGCAACGGCAGGGAATTTGAGGCATGGACCCAAAATGCAGACACTAGCAAGGCTGGATCAGTTTACAGGTTTATTTAACAGAAACAGTCACTTACAGAAATGTCCAAACGAAAGGCAAGGTAATCCACATACAGGGGTAAAGTCCAACTAAGGCAGAGTAATCCAAGAGCAGAGGAACAATCCGGAAATCCAGGGGGAAATGGAGCACAAGGCAGAAAACTCAACATTAGACTACAACACGACAAAGACTGAACACAACTGGGACACACCACACAGACACAAACAGGCCGGGTAATTAGTCACAGGTGAGACACATGAGCAATCAAGGCAAACAGGAAACATAGCTAGACATCTGTACACTAGAGCTGCAACGATTAGTTGATTAATCAAATTGTCAATAATTATTTGAAATTATTTGATAATACCTGCTGCCTCTCTCCTATACATATCATTGCTTTGGATTTTAGAATGTTGGTTGGACAATTCATAGACCAATCGGTTAATCAGTTTATCAATACAATAATCTGCAGATTGATCGATTTAAAAATAATAATAATTTGCAGCTCTACGCTACACATTTATGTGAGCAACTGTGTGCTTTCTAAATGGGTAAAAATAGATAAAAATATTATTTTATTACATGTGTTTGTAATTTTAATTTGCAAGAGGTGTTATGGGGTATTTTAGTCTATATCTTAATTTCATTATTAGTTAAGAATAGATATAACAACAACAAAATCACACTGTTTACTTATGTACATGCAGTTATTTCAGTGTAGAGGTGAAGTTTGTGTTCTGTGAGCGAGGAGATAAAGAGGAGATTCTGGGCAAATTGTTGTCTGTCAGTCCTGAAAGCAGCTATCGCGCTCCCCCAAAAGCTTAAAGCAATGTTCGACTTTTACATGACTTCTGTATTTTTCAGAAAGTTTACATCTGTCAAATCGTGTACATGTATAAATATGTTCCTTTACTTTGACTTTCAGACACAAAGATAGAAAATGTTCAATGATCTCTCACTTGATGCATCATAACACAGTGAATGCATGTGGACTATTTAATTGTATATACACTGAAGGTAGTTGAACCACTTAATGAACCACAGGATGGCAGAGGATTAAAGAAAATTTTCTGATATGTTGTTTCTTACCATATATCACTTAATGTAAGCCAAATGAAAAGAGATCCAGAGATTGAATAAAGCTGATATACTATCTTTGTAAACTGCTTCTATTTGGAGGTGATGGAACAGATTCATCACAGCTTCTAACAAAAGCAGGACTTTGTAATTGTATCTCTTAGACTGATGAGTCATGTACTGTAGCTAAATAAAGAAACACAATCAGATATCAAAGTTGTACAGTAGCAGATCTGTACCGGTTGATCTCCAGTTTGACAGTGACAGACTTCAATGAGCAGACCAGGTGGATACATTTGCTTGAAGGCAGATGAGAATAAAGTTTAGTCATACTCCATTAGGCATACAGCAGTGTTGGGGGACATTTCTTCAGAAGCTCCCTGTTAAAACTAATGGTGAGGGTATTATTGCCACTATCAGTGGGCAATAATAGTTATGCAGGCATAGATCATTTTAGCTGATCTAACCTACAGTACATGTGACAGGATGGAAAAGTATATCAATGGTATTTGTTGAGACTCTTTTTTTCTGTCAAACTGATTTCCCTCACTGTACTTTAATCCTACATTAGTATACATGCACAGATACTGTAGCTGAATAACCTTCAATGTGTTGGCTGTGAAAGTATTGAAGATATGTACACAAAGAGGGGTCTTGTACTAGCTTTCCCCTGCGTACCTCTGTTGCACTAATTTCTTTTTTTAGTGTGTATGTACATGGTGTATACTTAGATGTTACGTGTTTGTGTTTGGCACCATGTATCAGTGTCAAAGTTGGAGATTTCAGTTGAGCCACAAAACTTAAAGAACACAAGACTGATCTTATCTTCAGATACTCTTTCTATCGCACATACTGTAGCCCCACCTTCCCTGTATAAAACCACGCAGGTATTGTCTTACAGCAAAATACCACATCTGCCCTTTGTCTTTTTTCCACCTAGAGTAACACTTCTCCTTCCCCTGTCCTTCCTCTCCTGCCTCCCCATCTCTCTGCCGCTCTGTTAGACAGGAGCTTTCAAGAGAAACTTCAGCTCTCCTCTGCTAAGCACTGATGCGCTGGGTGTGGTCAGAGAGGCTCCTGCTGCCCAGGGTGAGTGATGGAAACACTGGCAGATTTCTCACAGCACCAAACAACTGTAATCTCAGGATGAGTAATCACCATGTCTGTGGCCTTCGGTCCTTGATGCCCGACAGGCTGTGTGTGTGTGTGTGTGTGTGTGTGTGTGTGTGTGTGTGTGTGTGGGGTGGGGGGGGGGGGGGTCAGTATAGTGTCAGCTATAATATTGCACATGTGTTGCTGCTTTCCGTCTTGTCTGGCTGTGTGTAGAGGCGGATAATGGCATTGTTGACCCTGTGTATGAGGCATTGCGCTATGGGACATCACTGGCTCAGATGAGCCGCTCCAGCTTCAGCAGTATCTCAGAGTCACCATGTCATGAGGTATAAAAACACATAAAATACACATACAACCCCAGTCGATCATATAAATTCATGTTGCCATAAATCATACCAACAATATTGTTGACTTTGCTGGCTGCAACCCTTTCTTTATTACAGGCAGAAGAACTTCAAGACAAGCTAGAAAACCAGCCAATAGCTGAAGAGGAACACATCCCAGGAAGTAAGTCAAATATTTCCTTTCAATTTTTAACCGATAATCAGATGTTTGTCGACATGGTAACAGTTTGGCAAGATAAATACTCACAAGGAATAGTTGAATATTTAAAAAAGAAATGCTTGTTTGCTCCCCCCCCCCCAAGCTATAAAGCTGTAAATCTGTGTCCAAAGGTTACGAAATCCACCTAGTAAAGCCTCTAAAGATCACACATTACATATATCTCATTTGAATAATCTGTACAAAACCCAAAGTGCTCACGCTAAAAGTGTTAATTTGAAGTACTTTAGAGGTGCTATTAGGTGTATTTTTAGGTAGGTGGTTTTTGTTACCTTTGTACAGATCCATGCTACCTTTGTCCCTGTTTCCAGTGTTTGTGGTAAGCTAACCATTTGCAAACAGACATTAGATGGTATTGATCTTCTCATAATCGATCGTTTCACTATTATTATTATTGCTGAACATCAAAGCAAACTGAGGGATCTGGAGCAACGTCTTCGCTTTTTGAGTCTGAGGGACTGGTACAAAAACCTGATGTTTACCATTCATGTTGAAAGTGTTCTTCTTCTGGTTTCTCTAATAAAGAAATAGTTCAACATTTTGGAGAGAAGCACTTATTTGCTGTCTTGCCATGGAATAAAAGTTTGAGTTTGGTACCACTCATGTCTGTACAGCAAATATGGAGCTACCGCCAGCTTACCAAGTTTTTATAGGAGGATTCTTATAATCACTGTGAGATTGCTGGGCAACCAGCAGACACATTAGTTATACTTACAATCCCAGTCCCGGCTGTTCTCATCTGTGACACCACGATGGTGGAACAAGCTATCACATGCCATCAGAGCAGGGGCATCCCTCTCTAACTTCAAGAAGCTCTTGAAAACTCCTCTCTTCCGAGAACACTTCCTCTTATAACACCTCTAACTCCTAACCTGCTAACAACCTCTTTCTGTGCTCTTCTTCTATCCCCTTACAATTATCTTGTATTGATTGCACTTTTTTGTTAATTCTTACTTCTTTCCCTAGGTATTTACCCCATTGATTCAATATGTATTCTTACTAGTATTTATTGCACTTACTAGTAAGTATTGTCAGTTGTAGATCTCGTGCTGTATTTGATGCTTTGTTGATGCTTGTATGTTGTTTCTCAATTGTAAGTCGCTTTGGATAAAAACGTCTGCCAAATGAGTAAATGTGATTTAATGTAATATCTAATGTAAGGAAAAAAGTGATTAAAGACAGACAATTCATGTAGAAGGACGCTTGGTTTAATTTCCAAAGTTAACATGCAACAGAGAAACACAATGGGGCACACATTTCCATTTAAGCATTATTATGCAGTTTAGCTAATTAGAAAAGCTGGATGGAGGCAGCAAATTGAACAAAACATCCACAATATCACTGAAAAGGTTTTACACTAACTGCTTTTGTTTAGAAATCCACCGCTATTTTGGAACAAATAGCGGTGGAAACATGCTGGTCGAATAAATAACGATGTAGCGATTATTACATGACAGGTCAATTTGGGTTGATTACATTGTACAACTCTAAACCAGGTTTGAAAATACAAAATTAAGCAGCAAAGTCTGTAAATGATCTGCAGCAAAACCTTTCCCAGAACTGCTAAACACACTTCTGCACCTGTAGTAGAGATTCAAAATCAATGAAGAGACCGGTACCGGCACCTCCTAGGTCTTGCTTCCGAAAGCAAGAAAAATGTTCTCGTATACTATATATTACTCTCGTAATAGCAGTGAGATCTAGACAGCCAAGCACTTTGATTCCATGCTGTTGTTGTGTGTTGTTGTTGGGTTTTTTTTTTTTTTCCTGTAATTGGAACCCTTTGCTTAGGTAGACGGTTTATTTCTCTCAAACGATACGTGTTTCCTACGCTATATCTACTCAGCTCAGGCAAAAAAGTTTATAAATACACTTTTCCTCATATAAAAATAGACAAAAAAATATTTCGACTTCAGTCAGTTCTGAAGGGACAGGCATGTATTTCTTTATTTTATGACTAAAATATCAACATGTAGTCCGTGTGAATGTGAGCGTGAGGGGTTGTCTGTCTATGTGTGGCCCTGCGATGGACTGGCGACCTGTCCAGGGTGTACCCCGCCTTTCGCCCAATGTCAGCTGGGATAGGCTCCAGCCCCCCCGCGACCCTGTACACAGGATAAGCAGTTGACGATGGATGGATGGATGGATGGATCAACGTGTAGTGGAATCTAATGATTATGCAAAATAACGATCAGTGGATCATGTAATAACAAGCCTAGATACAGTACGCTATAGAGGTGGTGTGGGTGTTCTCTCTACATTGCTTTAACCTCCCTGTCTTCAGTCCCAGGAGAAGGGATTATCTCTGTTTGTACTGCTGCCACTTTACAGCAAATGACCTTGGCTTTGGCCTTCCTTCTGTTTGCCGCAATGTGACAAGACCCCTCTTTGTGTCCCTCCCTTTTTTTTCTTCCTCTTTTTCTTGTTTTACACGTGACCATTTTTTCTTACACACTTTCTTTCCCTTTTTCTTTTCCCTCTCCCTCTCTCTTTGTGTTTATGTGTCTGTCTCTCCAGTGCTCACCCCTCCTGAAAGCGAGAAGGCTGATTCAGAAGACAGGGTCAGCCTCAAGGTGTGTAGTCAGCGTTATACTCTTCTTTCCGCTTATTTTTTCTTGGTGAAAATGCACTCTGCCGACCCCCCTCAAACGCTTCATCCTTTTCTCTCAGTTTCAGACTTCCACATGAGGAAACTACATATAACTATCTTCATCTGTCTCTTTTTTTCTGTTTTTGTCAGACTCCAAAGAGAGTAGAGGTTCACTCCATCCACACCTATGTGGCTCTCTACAAGTTTCTCCCTCAAGAGAAGAATGATTTGGAACTACAGTCAGTCCAATTTCTTTTGTATACTGTACTGTGCTTGTACATGAGAGTAATCTGGTGAAAGGGGAGGAAGTGTGTACCTGGCCAAAATATACTAACATTCACACGCCATCTGCCTCGTCAGCGGGATGATTGTAGGGGGTTGCAAGGTTCGGTTTGGGAGGGGGGAGCATGCTTGGAAATCTGGAAGGACAAACAGCTGCGTTGAGTGTGTGACATAAAAAAAAAAGTGTCTTTGTATGTTGGTAGGTGTAGGAAACTGCTGAGTGTGGTATGACACCCACTACTAATCTGGAGGATCTGTCTGTGCAAGAAGACAAGACACATGGCATTTCTTAACATGGACAAAGCCGTCCAGTTTCCTCAGAAAGAATTTGCATGGTGACATTTACAATACTATAGATAAAACACAAAAGAAGCTAGAAAACAGGCATTTGGGGACATCCGCTATGCAGTGATACCTGACCAATGTAGGCTAATCATCAACTTCTATGTGAGACTAAAATTTAATTAAAGCATGACTTGATATAAAACTATCAAATTGCTACTTAAAGGATGCCAACCATAGCATTGACCGTTTGACTCACTTCTTGTGACTATAAAATGTTTCTGTTGAAGTAATAGTTTTGGTATATTAATCACTTTTGTGTCGAGAGTTATTGAAAAGACAGACACCACTCTCATGTCTGAACACTTGATAGGAAGCTAGAGGCAGCAGTTAGCTTAGCATATAGCTGGCCGGGCTCCAGTATGAAACTTGTTATCAATTTTATTTATTTTTTGTTGTTGTTGAACAGATTAAACAATCAAGATATAGAGTCAGGCTAGCTGTTTCCCCTTGCTTCCATTCTTTATGCTAAACTAGCATATTTCCCGAAATGTTACATGGTGTAATTTGCAAATGATGATGAATATATAAAAAAATATATTTTCTTATCGATCACTTTGCTTAAAGAGGTGGTATTATGGTTTATGGCTTTTTCCCTCTCCTTTATTGAGTTATATATCTTTTTTGCGTATGTACTAGGTTTGCAAAGTGAAAAAGCCTAAAGTCCACCCCAAAGGGAGTTCCCATCTCCCACAGAAAACTCTGCTCTGAACTGCCTGAAAACAGCTCGTTTGTAGTCCAGCCTTTACTTCCCTTTCTTGTGATGTCACAATGAAAATACGTGTCATAATGCTCGCCGAGCGGCTAGTCCAACACGCCCTCAAAAACTGCAGCACACCTCTCCTCTCCCTTCCAAACACTAGCTACCCTCCAGGCAGTCAATGGACATGAAGTTGTTACTGTAATGTAGAGACAGAGCTCAGTTAAAACTTTATGGATGAAAGATACATTTGTTACAAATTAATAACTCACCACTCTGAAACTCTTGCTCCAGTCCAAATTGCCAACCTGGTTGGCAACATGTGGCCTACAGCTGAATCGAAGCTGTTTAATGTTTTTTCGCTGACCTGCCCTTCTCTGCTTCTGATTGGCTAGTAGTCCTTAACTAGGAAATGCGCATGTGCAACTCCCAACAAAGATCATTTAGAGACGAGATGTATCACTCCAGAGCTAAAACAAAGCCTTCAACACAGGGTGAAAAGAGGAGCTGCAGCAATGTGCAGTATGACAAAAAATATGGTGTTTTTTTTGAAAATTAAACCATGTAAATCCTGTTCTTGTAAATAGGATTTTGAACCCGAAAATGAGCATAATACCACCTCTTTAATTGTCTGTTTTTCCTCCAGGCCTGGTGATAGAGTTCAAGTCACAGATGACTCCAACGAGGACTGGTGGAAGGTGAGCTATGAAAGAAGTGCTGTGACCATTTAAAAATTGTCACATTTCTCTCTGTCTATCTCTATCTTTATAATAAGCCAGTGCTCAGGTGAATAAAATATTATCACTACAGATCTCCAGATTGATACCACAATAACACACACATATAGACTTCAGTAAGACAGTCGTGGGATTAGTTGAAGTTCTATTCAAAGCAGAGCTGCTCAGGGACTGTAACACTAAAGAGATGGCGGATCTGCTTGAAGGACAGCAGGTGTGGGTGTTAGCAGAGCTAGTTAGCATGAAGAGAAAGAGGGAGAAGACATAATGCAGTCCGTATTTTAATGAGGCAGCTGAAGATCTTAACCTTCACCTGCCAAAGGACAGACAGGTATTTACATAAACCATAACACACACTTTAAGTTACCTAGAGATTTTCTTTGCTGCAACCTGTGTTCCAATCTGATTACATGACAAAACAAAACAAAAATCGTTGTTCTTCTCTGACGGTCCAGTTTACATTCGAATGCTTATAGTGAGGCAACACTTGAATTTGGTACAATATTTACATGAAAATTCATGTAAATACATGTAAAATGGTGCAATTATACAAAACACAGTACTTTACAATATTGAGTAATTTTCACCCATGCAAACCACATTGATTTACAGAAAAATGTCATTTTAGTGTAAACATGCCTTTGCTAAATGTCAACATATGGACATGAGAAAAATGGGTGAGCACACCTGTGTGCCAAAGTCTCTGAAGAGAACAGAGGGGGATTAGGGCTCCACAAATACAGATCCTTTGGTCTAGTACTGATGCTGCTAATTAGGGAACAAAAACACTAATTTTCTTTCAATGCTTGCTCATTGAGTTTATTCAAATTCCAGTGTGTGACTGGGATTCATATGTGATGCATATTTAGGCATCTGGTCAAGTAAACAAAGATGAAAACACAAAACGATCTAATTGCTCAGGTAAAGACTGTCGAGATCTGTAGTGGAAGCTGCCTGTGTTGGGTTTGCTGTTTGTGTTGAAATGTAAGCGGGCAGATGCAAGAGTTGCTTTTTTGATTTATTCCATAGAGGAGGAATTTAACTCAAACCAGGGGAAGCCAGCACAACTGATTTTTGTAGTACAGGAAATTTACAATTACACACAGACAGAAAACTTCTATATATATCTTTGTGTGTGTGCATGCGTGTGCGTGTTTTTACCAGGGGAAAAGCAGAGACAAGGTGGGATTATTTCCGGCCAACTTTGTGCAGCGGGTCCGTCCTGGCGAGCGGGTGTGGAAGGTCACAGATGGTTTCCAAGGCAACCGAGACAAAGGCCAGATGACCGTGAAAGAGGCCCAGGTGAACACACACATAAAATACACACATTTTTTCTTTCTGTCAAACACACTGAATAAGTGTATGTAAATTCATGCAGAAAACTGCTGAGATTACAGAGGACAGCATGTTATGGCTTCCAGTACAGCTCACTTTTTGCCTTAGTCTAACTCTCTCACATAACTGAATGTCACTTGCCCCTCCTCCTGCTCCATACCCCCCCCCCCCCCCCCCCCACTCTCCCTCTGCAGATCTGCGTGGGGAAGAACGAGGAGATTGACGGTTTCCTCCGGCTGAGCAGCGGGAAGAAGAGAGGCTTGGTCCCTGTGAAGTATCTGCTAGAAATATGATGGCAGCGCACTTCTCCTTGACCCTCAGTTTGATAAAGAAGTTCACTATGACGGAGGAATACTCAGGAGTGTTTGCCCAACACCTCACTGACCGCCAACCAACCACCTCCATCCCCTCCGAAAAGTGGCAGCGAATTAGCAGCTTGAGTGGACGTCGACCCACAACTTTGCTTTTTACTGCAGATTTTGACTTTAAGGAGAGGATGGGGGGCGGGGCTTCTTCAGAGTTATTTAGAGCTACTTTTCTTGTAGCACAACATTTACTTTGTGAAGTGTTATACACACTCACAACAGAAATGTAGCATCATTTTGAAGAGGATAGTGTGCAGGAAGTCTGGCTACCTCACTAGCCATTGCCATTGGCCACCTGTCTGCAAAAATGGGAGAGGACTACCTTACTATGATGTCAAGGCCTGCGAAGTGTGAGCGACTTTGTGTGCAAATTGTCTTCATTTCACTGTTTGTGTAGAGAAAACAAGACATAAAAGACTGTGAAAGAGTATAGCTGTTTATTGTAGTGGCTTGTGCAAACATTTTTTGGTTAGTTATTTCAAACCCTTAAACAGATCTGGTTTAGTATATTCAACTAAGGGTATAAACCATGACGATCCAGTTACATGTGTGCAGACTGCTGCTCACTATGCGCACATGTCTGCTGTTGCAATATGGATTCACAATGTGCATATGTGTCACTCCTGTTCCGATTAGAAAATGATTCAGGTATTACATTACGTGTATGTAAAAATTAAAAACAGTCTTCTCTGCTACATTTTGGTCAAATGAAAGTCCACACACACACACACACACACACACACACACACACACACACACACACACACACACACACACACACACACAGGGGTTTCTGTATTTCATACTGCTCTCCAGTGATTAGATTACGGTACATTTGTGCTCTTCACAGCTCTGATGTGACAAATGCTTTCCGTGCACCTCTGGGAGCTTCTTTCTCAGTATGCCCTTCAATCACATTCTCTTTACACACACTAACGCACATAGATTTTATAGTTCACTCTGTTCCATGTAACTCTAAAATCCACCACTAGAATCCGCTTCCTGTCATTATATTCTCTGCATTGTTTATCTGTATGAAATGTCCGTATAATCTTCGCTGTCATATCTGGTTGAGTACCACAACAATGAGGATGGTGTGCTGTCTTGACTTTTCTGATCTACTTGCTTTTGGCGTGGAGAAGCAAAGGAAAGAAATACTGTAATTCAGGATGATGATTAAAAAAAACCAAACTCAGTGTTATTTGTCAAAAAAGAAAGTGATGAAAACTCTCCAACTTTCAGTCTCTCAGAGTTTCATGTACCAAACAACAGCTGTCAAAAATGTATTTTTGATGAATGGCTAATGTTTCTCCCAGCACACGTGATCACTTTTAAGTAACTCTGAGGGACTGTTATTGTTGCTGTTACTTAATGTGAGGCAAAATCACTGCACACCATTTGATTTATTGCTCTGTCATTATAAACCATAAGGCAGTGACAAACTGCCTTTGTTGCAGCAATAAATGTAAATAAAAACATGACAGTATTTGTAAATAGCCTTATAAAGATACTGTATATATTGGCTCTGAATAGCACTCTGACCAAGAGGTTTGCAGCTATTCAGGAGCCAACTAAGGGCATTAACTTCACAGTTACAAATTACAGGAGATTATTGTCCCACTTATTAGTGTATGCATCCCTTTTGCTCAATTAATATCTAGCCCTGTCAGCACAAATCTTTTCAAATACTATGCACAACAGTTCTAGTCACTCACTTTATTTAATATTATTCCAGCATAACCACACACATGTCAGTGCATACCTGTGCATTTGCAAAGATTTGAATTTTGACTCCAGCTTTGGGAGTATTGCAGCTTTTACAAAGTGTCCATCTGGGATCAGTCTGCACCATACTAATCCTAAACATTACCTTCACCTGACTAGAACCAAGATTGGCTCAGGATCAGTATTAACCAGGTGAATTCCCTTTCTCACCTTAATGCACACTACCAGGCTAGTTCTCTGCATGGCTAGCTGCGTCTCACATCTCTCAATAAAGTCAGATGAACTGTCAAATTGTGTGCTCTTTTATTTGAAATATAATTCATACTTTGTTCTTCAGTTGTGTGCTTTGGTTTCTCTGTCAAAAAGGCTGAGCAGGGTGAAATGAAGGTTTGATTTGCAAAGAGCTCATGGCATTAAAGGCAATGCATTACAGCTTTAATTTAGTGCTACTATTACAAGTCTGGATTAATGAATATTCATTTTGAAAGTGTGTCTCCTCAAAAGTCGCTAGTGATTAGCTTGGATGATCATGAAAAGAGCACTTCATTTTCCAAAACATGCTGCAATGTTAAAATGACAACATAATTAAACTGTGAATTACTATAAAACTGATGTTGAAAGAAGTATTCAGATTTTTACTGTACATAAGTAAAAGCTGCAGTACCAAACTATAAAAATACTAATACATAATTACAAATACCCTGCATTTAAAAGTTGGCTTAAGTAAAGATACAGAAATATTAACAAGATGTACTTAAAGTAAAAGTACTTCTTAAGCAGAAAACTCATTGTTATGTTATTATATCATGTCACTATTATTAATGCATTAACATGTATAAAGTACTTTAATGTTGTAGTTGACCGCAGTGGAGCTCATTTCTGTTACTTCATATTGCATCATATTTTATAAACTTCTATGTTATGTATAACAACCATTTCTGTGAAATAATGTGGTAGTATGATAATAGAATAATGTGGTACAGTATGCCCCTCTGAAATGTAGTGGGATAGTAGTATAAAATAGAAATACTCAAGTAAAGTACACATTGTACTCAAGTAGTCAACAGTACTTGAGTGCACTTAGTGACTTTCCACCACAATATAATCTATACATTGCTAAGATCAGTCTGGCGTGGGCACATACTAGAAGGCTGGAGGCTCACAGTAGTCTACTAACTGGAGTAGCTTGATTATCTGTGTCCTGCTTCCGTGCTATTTTTTTTTTTTAACCCTAATCAAGACTGTCCATCCCTCATATGGTCAAACTATGTTCTGTCCAGTCAATCAGACAATGACCCTGACATTAATTAGGAATGCTGTCAACCACACATTTTCTTTAGTGGATGATAAATGACAGGAAGATCGGGCAACACATTTCACCGTTAATCAGTTTGTGAGTGACCTCACGGTGAAGGCCCGCCACAATTAAGTATGTTACTACACACAGAGCATCTGGCAAAGGTCTGACTAATGCCACAACCACATTTTGTTAACAGAACCATAGGTATTGTGGACATTTACAGCCATGCTAGCAGCTCTGTGAGGCGGTACTTTGGCATAGCGGTGCTTTGAGCAAAATGCTAACATCAGCATGCTACTACGCTCACAGTGACCATGCTAACATGCTAATGTTTAGCAGGTTTGTTTGTTTTCCATGTTCAGCAAAGGTTAACATGCTAACATTTGCTAATTAGCAAAAAAGAACGCAAAGCTGGGGCTGAAAATGGCATTAGCTTTGCAGGAACTTGGTCATAAACCAAAGTAGGCCAACTGGACACAATTTTAACCTGATAGTGGCACTAAATGAAAAGTCAGGGGATTGCCAGAGATACTAAAATTCATCCTAAGGAAGAAATGGACATCTGTGCCAAATTTCATTGCAGTCCATCCAATTGTTGTTTCATTTTGTGTTTTTTTAATTTATTTATTGTTTTATTTTAATTTGGACCAACATTGCCATCCATAGAGCATGGCAAAAAAACACTATAAAGAAAACTCATTTAATCGTCCCATTTTTTTATCCACCCACCTTTTGCCTTTAAAAGCATTAATTTAAAGCTGAAAGTCTGCACTATAACCTTATATTATATGTATAATTTCACACCTACATTCATAAGCTATTGAATCCAAACCGAAAACGTCTCCCTTCACAGCCACAGAATTACACTGAGATATTTCAGAGTTGACAGTGCAGAGCCTGAGAGGACTTCTTGTTCTTAATGACCATAAATAATATGATTAACTCCCAATAAAATTAATTGGCAGTGTAGGAGCTGCTGGCAGGCCATAGACTAAGATGGCAAAGAGTGTCTTTGTGTGTGTGTGTGTGTGTGTGTGTGTTGTGCGTGTCCCTGCTGTGGTGTGAGGAACATTTCTCAAATTATGACCCAGTTCTGTTATCAAATTGGATCAAATGTGATTTATGTCTCAGCAGAGAGAGAGAGACAGACATAAATGTGTGCAACTGGCAGTACATCAAGCTATTCGTACATTTTATAAAATGCTGACTTTGGTGCTTAAGATGGCATGGTGCTCTCCACTTACTGTACCACTGACCTCTCTCTCTCTGTCTCTTTTACGACAATGAGCAGAGGAAGTTGAAATCCTTCTCTGAAATTCTCTTTCTGTGGCTCAAAAGGCTGTGATAAGCAGAGAATGCAAGGCTGAGTAACTGTCTCTCCCTTGGCAAATCACTTTCACTCTTCTATCACGCTACATTCATCAACATCACGACAAGACACTGAAGTGTTTCTTTTGGGGCAACAAATCCTAACCGGGAGTATCAAAGAGACTATTCCTGAGCATATCATGCCCGTTCCAGAAAATGACTTATTAAAATAAGTAAAATGGCTCATTAAATGTATGATATGTTACACAATCCCTCCCTGTCCTTTAAAATAGTCACACACTTCTTTGCTGAGCAGCAGCTGCTGGACAGACTCACAGTAGGGGTTAAGACCGCAGCACAAGGGCGCTAACAGGCAGCAGGAATATAGCAAAAATGCAAATTCTGGAAGAAAATCCGTGCTCAAAATAGCACTTAATTATATAGGCAGGCAGAAGGAAAGGAACGCACTGTCACAGGAAAATAAAGCTTTCTGGTGCTTGGCAGACAAAAGGAAAAAACACCTTACAGACCCCTGCATCAAACGCACGCAAATAAAAATAATCTCCTATCCCTCACTTCCTCACTGTCTGTTTTATCACTGTACGTGAGAGGATATTAAAGGCTTGAAATATGAAAATCTTTCACACTTTGTATACAGTTCTGTCAGTCGGCTCACATGGAACATTATTTATTATGTGACTACATACAGAGTTGATATCTAGTGTCTATGCCCCAAATATCTAGTTGATATCTAGTGTCAACTAGGGTCTAGGGTGTGATGATAATAAATTCCCACTTTAGGGTAACATGGGGCCGACAGGTGGATTCTTAGGTTGGAGTTTATGAAATATGAGCAGCGGCAGTGCTTGCAAATTATTAGTGCAGCGGCAGTATATCAAAGCAATAGAGTGGCCCAAGCGCCAACACTTTAAATTTAACTCATTGCAAAGTGTGCATTGGATTGCACACTTTGAAGCTCCGCTTCAGTGAAGAGACGAAATATGGCGGCAGGCAAAAACATCTGTGTGTAGCAATGTGGAGACTGTAACCTTCCTCAAATTAACACATGAAACAAACATTTATGCTATATTCCCATCGCATTTTCTAGTTTGTGTTATTTTGTAGCGCCCTCATCTTCTGCAATGGCTTATTGGCACCTGACTGGAAAATTAACACCAGTCTTTATCAGGACAACCCAACTCCTAATAAGGGCAGTGGATGGTGGCACATTAATTCAAGTTTTCTTTTGCCAATTTTTTCGTTTCTGTTTGGATGGATGGAAACCTAGCTATTGGCATGCTATATTTAGCAGACAGTTGCCTATACACATTCAAAAGAGCAATGTTAGCATTAATTTGGAGTTGTGTTTGTGGCCACCTGAAGAATGTTAAATCCAATAAACACTCTCATTTTAGCCATTTTTGGTCTTTCTAACAACTTTTATTTGTCGGTCATTTTGTGCTGAGCAGTTAGCATACAGTGCTACCGTAGCCTACCACTTTTTTGCTGAAAACAGCTGCCAGTTGTAGCTGTAATCTATCTGCTTACGAAGTCTCTGAGGTAAACTGAGGGAAAGAACTGCAAGGCATTGTTCAGCTATTGCTTTAAATGGATGTGATCACCAGGTTGTTTAATTTTTAATCTGCAAGACTCTTAAACCTAATAGATTGTGAATATTGTTGGAATGATGTGTATGAAATGAGTTTAATTTTGCTTTTCAATGGATTCAACCAACTCACAGTTTCATGTCTATTGCCAACTCAGAGGAACCATTAATTTATCAAACAACTCGGTGAACTCCTTAAAACATAGAGATTTAGCACCTCATGCTCCAGCAACAACATTTTATTTATCACAAGTC